TTCGGTCATACATTTCCAAGGCGGGAGATTGTATGGTGTTACCACGACAGGCCACATGCTATAACTATTGCTCATGTTACCAAAAGGGTTGAACCCATCACTCATAAGAGAAAGCCTAACATTCCTAGGGTCTGCAGCGAACCAATTATGATCCTCATCGAACTGTTTCCAAGTTTTTGCATCAGCCGGATGCCTTAGCGTATCATCATCAACACGCAATTCCTTGTGCCACCGCATGTCTTTAGCATCTTCCTTAGTCATGAACAATCTTTGAAGCCTATCTTTTAGTGGGAAATACCTAGCTTTCCTTTGTGCTACATTATTTTGTTTCCCAGGTATGTATCTAGGCTCATTGCATTTTGGGCATGTAATGGCAGATTCTAGAGGACCTCTATAGAGTACACAATGATTTGGGCAGGCATCTATAGTGGTGTAACCGAACCCAAGATCTCCCATGTACCGCTTAACTTCATAGAATGAAGAAGGAAGCGTCTCGCCAACAGGTAATGCTTTCTTGACTAGGTCCAGATTCAGGTTGAAGGATTTGTCAGTACTGTTGGTTACCAGTTTATTGTTCAGCAGCTTCATAACGAATGATAATCTGGAAAAGTCTTTGCATCCAGGGTATAATGGCAAATTGGCATCCCGGATTAGCCGAGCCAATTTGTCGTTGAGGTCTGTTAGATTAGAATAATTTGGTGTTGTTGACCCCTCAATGACAGGAGCATTTCCAGAAGTAGCACGCAACATATCCCCTAACATATCAGCCATGTCATCCTCTAAACCGTCACTCTCAAACACAACTGTAGGTTGCCTAGGCTGATGACTAGTACTCTCAAAGTCAAACGACTCACCATGATGGATCCATGTAGTATATGTCTCCACCATGCCATTCATGGTTATATCATCTGCGACAAATCTCCAGCTTCTTGAAGTTTCGATTATTGCACCTTTTACAAGGGCATCTAGTTCTACCTAGCGTATCAACATGTTTGCTGGCAGCCCCTATGAACTCAGAAACCCCCTTTTGATATTCATCACAGAACCTATCCTTAAGCTTAATCCAATTTCTACTCATTCAATCTGTGCGTAAAGAAACTGACCTTCCCTTTATAGGCAGTTGGTCAAGATGGAAGCACAGCGTGAGATGAACTAGAAAAGGATCTGCAGAGGGTATATGACAAAACATTAGGAACCATGTTGACTTACACGATTTCAACTGAAACAGAAATTTAAATTCAAGACATTAATCGAATCTTACCTTTGCTTAGTGCTTGGGGCGCATTCTCTCTTTTGTAATTAGCACAAAAGGATGGTTGAAGGATCGAAGATATAATCAGCCCCTACCATCGAGTCAATGACGAGGAAACACAAGAGCTCATTCAGATAGATAAACCAACAGAATATTCTTAAGCTAAAGCAGTACACAGTAGCCAGGGGAGGGAGGGACGACGCTTACTTGTTTCTGCCAGACCAGCGAGTTTGCTACAGCAATGTTGCTACGCAAATTTAGGTTGCGGAGATTGGGGATCTTTGAACTGTGGTGGTGACAGGCCGATTGGTGGAACGGCGACGACGACGGAACACCCGCTGGTGAGTGGCGGGGCCGATTAGTGGAGGACGGATAAAGGATCGCGGTGGTTGGAAAATTGGTGGAGGATTGGGTTATTGATCGACTGCGCAAATTTTTTTGATATTCATTATAAGAAGATCCGCTGCGCTGACAAGAAAGGAGTATAATTTTTTTTCCCGAGGGGGAAGAGGTTTCAGCCTACAAAGACCCAAATATGACGAAATGTCATTGTCACAACACGAAACCACTATATTACCACTAACATTACATTTTGTCAGGTTGGCGATGGATTATGGTTGTGTATTGTGACAAACCAAATTGTCGTTTAAACAATTCAGAAGGACATAATATGACAAATAATACTTTGTCGATGACATTTTGCCACTTTATGTCTCTTAGATACCGATGTGGGTTACCTATTTTGACAAACCATATGGTGACACACAAATTTGGTCACATTAAAGACTTTAACTGACAAAGTATTATGACAAAATAACATTTTGTCACATTAGGAGTACCAAATGTGACATACAATTTTTTGTCAAATTATAGTACCTATTATGACAAACAAAGAATGACAAAAATAAATATTTGTCCTAATAGGCCGAATTTGTTGTAGTGAATGCTTCGCCATATATAGCTAGGGTTATTTCCCACCTCAGCTTCCAAAATGTTTGTATAGGGGGTAGTATTTTGCTTTCAACACACGAGCTACCAGGCTAGTTGGTTTTGCAATAGGTTCCAGACCTGTTTACCCAACAGCGCCAAATTGAATCCGTGCAAATCGCGAAATCCCATTCCCCCTTGTTTCTTTGGCTTACACATGTTTGTCCACTTTATCCAATGTATTCTTCTTTCCCCATTCTTGCTTCCCCACCAGAAACCAGAGATTATTCTATGCATTTCATCAATTACCCCTTGTGGGATCAGGAAAACTGACATGGCATACATTGCTTGAGCTTGAGCAATTGCTTTGATTAGAACTTCTTTAGCAGCATTCGAAAGCAGCTTTCTTTTCCACAGCTTCACTGTCTTTGTTACCTTATCGATGAGTTACGTGAACACTGCTTTCTTTGACCTACCAATCACTATTGGTAGCCCCAAGTACTTGTCATGGTGCATTACATGCTTCATTCCTAGCAATTGTGCCATGTCCTCTCGCTGTGCCCCATCCATGTTACTACTAAATGACAGTTCAGACTTAACCAGGCTCACTTGTTGCCCCGATTCTGTTGCATAGGTATCCAATATCCACTTTAAAGTCTCCCCTTCCTGCCTTTTATTCTCAAAGAAAAAAATACTGTCGTCCGCGAATAATAAGTGCGTGATCATAGGAGCTTCTTTAGACACTATGATACCATGAAATTTCCCCTCTTGTACTGCCTTCTCAGTTAAACATGATAACCCTTCAGCACATAATAGGAACAGGTATGGCGACAAGGGATCACCTTGCCTGATCCCTCTTGATGGTTGAATTACCTCGGACTAGTGTCCATTTACTAGGGCTGCATATGCCACTGTAGTCACACATTGCATCACCATATCAATCCATTCTTGTGCAAACCCAATTTTCTGCATAACCTTTGACAGGAAATTCCATTCCACGCGATCATATGCCTTTGCTATGTCCAATTTCACAGCTACAAAACCTTTTTTTCCTTCTGTGCGAGTTTTCATTGCATGAAAACATTCAAAAGCTACCATAATGTTGTCTGTTATAAGTCTTCCAGGCACAAAGGCACTCTGAGTGTCATGTATCACTATGCTCAATACCTGCTTAAGTCTGTTTGCTAGCAGCTTTGAAAAAATCTTGTAAATAACACGGCAGAGACATGGGGCGGAACTCTTTTGGGCTTGTTGGTTGTTTGACCTTCGGGATTAATACAATAAGTGTCCTATTCAACTCCAGGGGTATAACTCTTTCTTGAAAACACTTTTGCAGCCCTGTCACTATCAGAGGGCCCACTGTCCCCCAATTTTTCTGGAAGAAGAGGGCTGGTAATCCATCCACTCCAGGCGCTTTCAAGGGCCCCATCATTTTAAGCGCAACCCATACTTCCTCCTCCATAACAGGCCTCCATAACAGGTTTGAGCAGTTCCCTGTTCATTTCCTTAGTAATTCTCGTTGGTATCGAGTCCAGGACATGTTGAGATAATGGTTCTGGTCCCACCATGAATAGCCCTTCTAAATAGTTAACCACACACTGTGAAACTTCTTGTTGGCCCTTGTAAACCTATCCTTCCTCGTCCTTCAGTTCAACAATTGTATTTCTCCTTCGCCTCATTGAGGCTTTTTGGTGGAAGAATTTGCTATTTGAGTCTCCTTCCCTCAGCTAGTCATTTCTTGACCGTTGCTTCCATAACATTTCCTCCTGTTGTAGCAGCTCATTTAGCTCACGTTCTAGCACTTTCCTCTGAATTATCATTGCCTTATTCTTCTTTTGCTTTGCGATCCTTTCCAGAATTTTCTTTGTTTTCTTTTTCCTCTTTCTTATGTCCCCAAAAGTGGTCTGACTCCATTTCTTAAGTTGTTGTTTGCATCCTTTAATTCTGGACTCGAGGTTCCGATCAGGATTCTTATTCCATCCCTGCTCAATCAGCAGTGAGCAATCTTCATGTTTTTGCCAGAAAGACTCGAACCTGAACTGTCGGCCCCATTTAATCATGTTATTTGTAACCTCAAAGGTAGGTGGTCTGAGACCCATCTAGGGAGATGGTACACTTGAGCATCTTTAAATCTGCTCCTCCACTCAAAATTAGCTACCATGCGGTCAAGTCTTTCTTCTAGGAACTCCTCATCCTCCCTGCCATTGTCCCATGTAAATATGTTCCCATTATATCCCAAGTCCTCCAGTCCACAGTCGTCTAGCACCTCTCTGAACCCTTCCATACATTGCTCATCAGGTAGTCTCATACCATTCTTTTCCTCATAGTCCAGCACTTGGTTAAAATCCCCCATCACCAGCCATGGCAGATCACTATGCCCCTTAAGTCTCCTAAGAAAATCCCAAGTCTTCTTTTCCTCATAGTTTTCCTCAAAATCCTTAACTGTCACCTTCCCATGATCTTTCCACATTAACATTAAGCCTCCTGCTCGGTTCCTACACCCCACTCACTTACCCTTTTCCTATCCCATTGCTTCCATTATTGCTTCCCATTCATGCTCTTGTTTCTTGGTTTCCATTAGGAAAACAATATCGGGGTCCTGTTCTCTGAGTAGCTCTGCTACTCTCTTCGCTGTCGTGGTTTTCCCCAACCCACGACAGTTGTAGCTTATAAGACTCATTGGGCTGGGCGGCCTTGTGTTCTCACAAGGTCCGCCTTTTCGCCATCCATAGTGTTATTCTTCATCATCAAACCACAGTTACTGGTATTTTTTATCCATCCCTCCTTCTTCCATATGAGTATTTTGATCTTGCAAACCTTCGGGAAATTTGTGCGTTTATTACCCTCCTCGCCTTGAGTGTGAGAGGGCTCTCTTCCCGCATCCTTCTTCCCATCTTCATCATTCTGTAAACTTCTTTTCTGGGGTGTCAGTTGTAAGGAGGGCTTTCAAGCTCCAGTTTCCTGTTTAGGAGTTTGCCTGTTCCACCTCTTTGGCCTCGATCTGATTTGTGCTGTGCTGACCGTCCCCATATTGAAATTTAGCAAATTACTTTCTTCCATTTCATTTTTGTCCATGCCACCCATGCCTGTCTCGTCCCCATCCACCTTATCTCTCCTAGCCTCCCTTTCCTCTTTCTCCTTATCCCTCCTTTCCTGGGCATTTTTATCTACTGTGTTTTCCATTTGTACTTCCATGCCTCTAGCTTCTTTCATGTTCCATGCCTCCTCTGTTGATCCTTTATAGGATTCAGGATGGTACTTCTCGCTTTCCCCTACACCAAATATTTGCCTTTGTTTCTCGTAGATAGGGTTAGCTCGGGCCTCTACCTTTTTCCAGCTTGCCTCTGGATGTTTCAATGACTCCAGCCTCAACTTTTCAGTTGTTGCTTCCCTATCGAGTTTCGCTCTCAGGGCCATCCACAATTCATCAGTCTCCTCCCTCTCTTGCCTTGATTGCCAGGATCTACTTTGGGGTGCTCCCAATCGTAGCTCAGGGCCAAATTTATCCATTTCCACGGTTTGTTTAGTTGGGCAATAGGCTTTGGGATGGCCTACCAGGCCACATGCAAAACAAAATAGTGGGAGCTTTTCATATTTCACTGGAAATTTCATGATTTTGCCTTGTACCTTCAGTTTCAGCTCTTGTCTCAACGGTGTTCTGATATCTTTGCCTACTCTTATCCGTAGGTAATCATCCCTTACTGTATCTACTAGAGAGTCCACCCATATTAAGCTGCCGAATTTCTCCACAATTTTGTGTGCCATTTCAGATGTCTTCAAAGCAGTTGGTAAGCCAAAAATTTGTATCCAGACTTCCATAATACAGAACTCCTCCTTCAGTGGCTTGTGGAAAGCATCTGCAGCTTTAAAAATTATCAGGTTGTTGTCATAATGCCAGGGTCCCCCGCGGAGCACCTTCTTCCTATCTTGCTTGTCAAGGAATTGGAAGCCATACAGTTGGTCTCCCTTTTCAGTAACCTGAAAGGTTTGTCTCAGATTCCACGCCTTTGTTAGTTCTATCTTCATGGATTTGAGATTTTGTTTTTTGTCCACTAACAATCTTCCCACCAATCCCAACAGCTTCACTGCCTTCACCATTACCGCATCATAGTCTTGTTCTTCCACCTCCAGCGCATCATCCTCGTCATCCGAAGCCAAACTTATGTTTTGTATCTTGTTCTCCAAGGCTTCTGAGAAAGAAGCCTCTTTGTCCACTATTTTCAGGACCTTCGTGTGCCCTTCTTCAGCCATCACTGTACTTCGTATGATTATTTGCGATTGCTCTATAGCTTCCTTTGTTCCTGTGCTAATGAGATTTTCTCCCCTACTGTCTTTCGTCACTTGCTCCAGATCTGCCTCGTCCACGTCCTTCTCTTTGCTGGCCATTGGGAATCAACCTCTTTACCGACTCTTCTCAGTGTACAAAAAAACCCTCACCCCTCACCCCTAAGCCGCAGAAGGCTAGCTTAGGAAAAAACTTTGGCGAGACCCTCTGAGTTATGGGAACCCACAAGAAACTCTCACTCAACCCCTCTCTAAACCTGTCAGTCTGATCGCAGGATGCCAATAAATTGTAAAGCTAACTCACTATATCCCTCTACTCACCCCAAGTATCTTTAGAATTAACTCAAACCCGATCACCGCCGTCTGTAAAACCTCTCCAAAAAAAAAACTAATAGAGACTCCTATCCGACACTCTCGCTAAACGAGAGAGATTTTACGTATTTTTTATAGTTTGTATTATTAGTTATTTAGAATTGTAGAAACCTTTTTACATTACTTCCATTCAATTATAGCTTAGAATCACAGTATAATTAAGAATACTTTTTTATTGAAATATGGGTCCCTTATTTGTGAAATAATCAATGATGTGGTTTTACTCTTCGTACACACGTACTCATAGGTCTATTTAACTAATAGTATATGATAGTCGGTGTAATTATTTTTTATACTTTATATTCAACGAGATGAGGAAAAAAAGGTTATGAATCCATGATAATCAGACCAACTATCTTAAAGTCATCATTCTAATATTGGAACTGCCAAACTCGTAAAAACGGTAAGGACGTTAAGAATAAGAGTATTACAAATTTAGATAAAAGTCTATCTGTCAAACCGTATAACTATAATTGCATGCCAACTGAAAATTTGAAGAATTTCTAACCAAATTGTTCCGGGAACTTTGAAATGTTATTATGATATTTCATCCACAAATTAACTTGGAGATGTGCTGTCTGATTTCTAAGCAGGCTTGGGCTGTCACCAGGCCGTAGCAGACCGGCCCGGAGTACTTGGACTTTCTAAAGCTACACGTCATTCATGCAAAGAGGCTTGCATGTCCGTCGTGCTTTTGGGCTAATAGGCTACCTTTTGGGCTTGGACCCTTTGGTGACTGAGAGGATGATCCTTCAGGTGCACTTTTAATGTTCCTGAACATATTTTATGCTTCTCTACTCAATAGATCAGGTGATTAAGTTGATTCTATGGACAATTTAGTTTGGTCACGACAACTCAATGACTCTTAGCTTTGGAGTGAGCGAAGGAAACATGGTTGCAAATTACATTGCCTCCTTGGGCATATCCAACCCTAAACTCTTAATTGTATTTTGATTCGATTGGGGTGCAGACCCCTCGGGTTGTTTCTAGTTAATGATTAGAGGGCCTGTGACAATCATTTGTTTTTAGAAGAAGTTTTTCTTTGTAGTGGTTATGAGAGTTATTACTTCTTACTAATGCTCTAAGGAATTAGCAGTCACTTTTGGAGGTGAATTACTAATGTTTCGGAAGGGGCATTAGTAATGACTTTCGAATATAGGTGGCAATTGTCAATCCAATCCACCAATCCATTAAAAATATCCACTAAATCCAATCCATTTGATCCAAATACAATTGGATTGGTGGATTCATGGATCAATTCATGGATCCAAATGACAAATTACGGTTTGGTACCTATAATTTTTATATTTTACATTTTGATATCCAAAATTTAATTTTTATACGAAAAATATTATTGGAAAATTACGTTTTGGTACCTAAAATTTTTCATTATGACATTTTAGTACCTAAACTTTTCACATTTTACATATTGGTCCTTGGTTGATGATGTCATTTGGATTCATGGATAATCCACCAATCCATTAAACCATTAATCCATTGGATCCAATCCACTTGATCCATGGATCCATCAATCGAATCCACCAATTCATGGATCCAATTCATTTGCCACCTCTACTTTCGAAAAAAAATTTATTAGTGAAAATCAATCTTGATTAGTAAATTTTGTAGGGCCAATTTGTAATGATGATTTTAGCACTCTTAATCCTTTAACTCAATTCTTTGACTTAATCTATGTACTCTTCTCCATGAGCTCATGCTTGAAATCTCAGATTTCCTAATTTATCCATAGTTTTTGTATTTGCATGCTTTTTCAGTTTTTTCGAAAGAAAGGAGAGACGGAGTAAAAGTTTGATATTTGGTTGAATCGAACTAATGAAGTTAAATCGTTTTTTGGTTGCACTGACCACTCAGTTTGGGATTAGACCGACCGATTCTATGAAGGGACACATCCCTTTGGCCTAGTGGCGGTTGCATTATTTTATGGATAAAGATAACCTTATGGATATAGACAACCTTTCATATGAATAAGAGCAACCTTTCGTATGGATAAAGGCAACCATTCATATGGACAATGACAACCTAGCTTACATATGGATAGAGACAACCTTTCATATGGATAAAGGCAACCTTTCGTATGGATAAAGACAACCCTTCAAGAAACAATGCATGGATTCGGCCCCTATAAATGTATGTGTGGGGTTGATGATGCCACACACCATCAAACATATTCTTCTTCTTTCTTCCAAAAATATCTAAGTATGCTTTAATGTTCTTGAGTCTAGAACCTAAAGTGGTGATAGTTTTATCCTCAGGAGAAATTTCCTGTAACCCAAGGCTTTTATGGAGGGTGGTAATATTCTTTTCGAAAAGTGAACGTAGTTTATGACTCTATCATAATCGTGGTCACCTGGTCTCGGGCTATCGTACGTAAAATCTCGTCTCTAAAGTCCCAACAATCGAAAAGAATCTTTTCCGGTACGATGTCTCGAATCGCTCTTTATGAGGAACCGGTTCCGGTCTATGGAATATGAGAATGTTTGATGATAAGATTTTCATCGATGGCAGCAGAGGATGAATTTTTTTTCGTACTAGTCTCATGGTGTATTCCATATACGGAAGGTAATTTGGAAGAGGGATGATTCAAGGATGAGGAAGAAAGAGAATACTTCGTAAAATGGAGAAATAAAATATTGACAATTTCCTTTGTGTAGGTCACATACTTAAGGGTTAATTTGTATAATTCTCTATTCGACATAAACGAAGTTCTAGACAAATTTGGATTCGTCTAGTGGGTTGATGGTGTGATTTTGTTTAGTGGTTTATGTTGTTTCAAACCAAGGAGACAAAATGTATACACAATTGATGATGATTCTAGTAATGGAGTCATCATACATTTATATGTATGTATATGACATGCTTATCTTTGGGACCAATAAAAGATAAGTGAACTTTGATAAAAAGTTGTTATTTAATTTCTCCATGTAGGATATGGGGGAGGAAAATGTGATTCTGTATATTGAGTCAAGCGGAACGACAAAGAATATTACTTCTCTCAATGTTTCTGCATTGAGAAGGTACTTGCAAAAATTCCATAGTAGGAATTGTCGTGAGTTCAAGACCCCAATGGATCCAAGTATGAAAACTATGGTTAATAGTACTGGAAATCAGTTTTACAACTGGAGTATTCCATGTTAAATTGGGGCCTCAATGTACGCATGACTTGCATGATGTTAGATATTGCATATGCAATAGAACAATTAAGTTGGTACATGATGAATCATAGTTCTCATCATTTGAAATGAAATGAGGCGTGTACTCGGATATGTCAAAGACACATTGTATTGACTTATAGTGGCTTTCCATCCATTTTGGAAGAATTAGTTGATGTTAGTTGGATTTCTCATGTTAAAGGTGACACTTCAACATCGAGATAAGTCATCTTGCTTGGGGGAGGTGTCATATCTTGGGTCTCCAAAAAGCAAACTTGCATAAGTAATTTACTATTGAGTCAAAGTTTTGTGGCCTTGATTTCTCTTAGAGAAAAGGCATCATTGTTAAGATGCTTGGTTTATGACATTAATTTATGGCAAAACCAATCTCACCTATTACTATTCTTAGTGATAGTAATGCTACTTTGGCTAAGGAAAATAGCCAAGTGAAATGACAAGTATGGTCATGTGGGAGTTAGACACTGTGTAATGTGACTGGACTTGCAATAATTTAGTTGATTATTTGACGAAATGATTAACTAGTGACTTGGTGGTCATGTATGTAAAAGGGATGGTTTTAAAGTCCATATAATTTTTTATCATGGGATACCCAATTCCCCTCTAATACAATGTTAGAGGCTGAATTCAATGTGGAAAGCTCATTATTAGAAATTGAAATACACAATTAGTCATCCTGAGGTATGTGTTTGTTATCCTGCATGAGAGAAGAGGATGAAGTGTAGCCGCTTCAAGAAACCCAAACTTCGGTTTCGTGTACGCTAATGAGAAGGATTGGACACATGCGGATAATAGTGTCAAGGTCACTTAGAAGTTTCTAAAACTTAAGTGTATGTTATCTCCGAATATTTATATGAGTAGATGGGTTCAATCGTTACCGACAATCAAATATTCAGATATTCTTCAAGTGTAATATACTAAGATGAAAATTTAATTGTCACGACAATTTCATTTATTCTTAAGGTTTTGTTGGAAGAATGTAGTGATTTTAGTGCATTCTATGAATACAATAAAATGGGGGATGAATGTTGGATATTTGGTAGAACCGAACTAACCAAGTTAAATCGTTTTTTGGTTGGACCGACCAACCAATTTGGGATTAGACCGACCGAACCAATATTACAATTTCATGAAGGGACATATGCCTTTGGCCTAGTGGCGGATGCATTATTTTATGGATAAGGATAACCTTATGAATAGAGACAACCTTTCATATGGATAAGGTCAACCTTTCGTATGGATAAAAGCAACCATTCATATGGATAATGACAATCTTTCATAAGGATAAAGACAACCTTTCGTATGGATAAAGGAAACCTTTCATGAAATAATGCATGGATTCGACCCCTATAAGTATATGTGTGAGGTGGATAATGCCACACACATTCAAACATATTCTTCTTCTTTCTTCCAAAAATTTCTAAGTATGCTTTAGTGTTCTTGACCTAGAACCTAAAGTGGTGATAGTTTTATCCTCGGGAGAAATTTCCTGTAACCCAAGGCTTTTATGAAGGGTGGAAATATTCTTTTCGAAAAGTGAACGTAGTTCAGGACTCTATCATAATCCTGGTCACCCGGTCTCAGGCTATCGTATGTACATCCTCGTCCCTAAAGGTCCAACAGTAAAAAATTTGAGTATGAGAACAAAAAATTATGGTTAAGTATTTGAACTTGATAGTTAGAGATAAAGAAAGTGGTGGACTTTGTTTTCCAAATTTATTGCATTTATTTAGTAATAATCAAGGTGTTAAAGTTACTCCACCACAAAAGTCAAGTAATACTAAGTTGTGGACCCATACCAAGTGGGACCCAAAACTCGAGGCCCAATGCGGCCCCAATACTGACCTCGAGCCCAAATTACTAGGTCCAGTATTGTCGACCACGACATGAAGGCCCACTTGGTATGGTTTATGACATTAATTTATGGCAAAACCAATCTCACCTATTACTATTCTTAGTGATAGTAATGCTACTTTGGCTAAGGCAAATAGCCAAGTGAAATGACAAGTATGGTCATGTGGGAGTTAGACACTGTGTAATGTGATTGGACTTGCAATAATTTAGTTGATTATTTAACGAAATG